GCCATTTCATGCTGGAGTCCGCATATCGCCGCGTGCTTCAGGAAATCATTGATTTCCACGTTTTTGGCATGGGGGTAGGGCGACGGCGCCCACATTTCCGAAATGGTGCCTCCCAGGGACATGACCGTCCCACGATATTCTTCGGCATGCTCGGCGAAATACCGGCAAATCACGTGATTTGCCACATTGCGGGTGCGACGGGACTCCTCCTTCGTTCCCGGGCGGGCAGGCCCGATTTGTTTGAAAATTAGCCAGCCTTGCAGCTGGGCCTGGTCGGGCTGGTTGCCTTCGAATCTGATCCCATGTGGGCGGCGAAACACATTCTGCCCTAGGAACTGAGCCCAGGCGTCTACGTCGGAGAGCGGTGGGTCAGTCGGCCGTTCGGCCTTCTCCGACTTCTCGCGCAGCTGAGCACGCTTCTTTTTGTCAATGAAGACAGCTTGTTGGAACCAATCGGGATCCTTCCAACCGTCGGCAAAGGCCTTCTGGTTCTTTGTGGTGTGCATGCCCAGCCCTTTGATCAGGGTTACGTAATGCTTGGCGAGAAACACGTGGAACCACGCGTATTCGCGTTTCGCACTCTCGGTCAGCCGATCGTAGAATACGGTATCGGTCGGCGGCACAATGTGCCCTTTCATGATCTTACCGATTTCCTCGCGGGTGAGGTGACGGCGCGGATCTCTGACATGGGCCCATGGACGCGCAACATTGCGTTCGTTTGCTATCTCTATTCCTAAGTCCTCCCCTCCCCCCCGAGGGGGCAGGGCCTAAGGGAGCCGGCAGAGTGGCCATGTTCCCATCAGCGTCAGGAACCCACTGGATGCCGGGCGCGGGCTATCAAGCGTGAGAGCGCGCCCATATCGGGGTTTGAATTTGTGCTTACTTCGGTGTTCTGGAAGCCAAGGGCGGCTTCGAGCGCTTCAACGCGCTGGGTAAGTTGCTCCAATTGGCGCGACATATTGGGTAGGTTTACCGCGGGCATCGGGTAGGGCGAGCCACGGGCTGGGCCGATCACGTAGGGCTTTGCGAGAGGCATAGTCGTCGTAGTGTATGCGTGTATGTAGTATGAGCTGCAACGTCGTTCGTTACGCAGCCTGCGGTGCATGATAGCGCACATTTATACCTGAGGGTCCGACTGACCAGAATATTTTTCCATCGCGCCCAACAGGATGCATACTGTACGGGGTGACTATTGCGCCCTCGGGGGCGGGCAGGCCTTGGATCGGCGGCCGAGATTTCGGCAGGTCTTCCACGCGGCTCACACCTTCGATTTCGAAGTACCTGTCCATCAGGGACAGATCTTTGACATTTTCCCACGGCTCCCATGAGCTATCGCCCAGTGTCCACCGTACTAAGAATAATATGGTATTCCCATGCCATTCATGGGTTAGTATTTCCTCAACTTCGTATTCTAAGTCCTCGGCTTGCCCGAAGTCATAAAAGTTTGCAGGGTCCCTGCCCGGGAATAATTTATCATCATTCGGCATGTACGGCCGAAGCTTACTGATATGAAATCGTGGGTGCACGCGGCGCGCTTTGAGATCGGCGGGCAAGTCAATCAAATAGACACTGACGTCATTGTTGGCCTCAAGGATCTTGAACGGTCCAATGAAACGAGGCGCGAGCTTGCGTGCACGTTTGATGGGTAAATTAAGGTTAGCCGTACTCACGTAGACCAGATCACCGGGCCGATAGGCTTGGTGGTCGCGTCGTCGCTGGTTCGCGTGATGTGCTTGGCGAACGCGTGATGCTATGATGGCATCATGGGCCTGTTCCAGGCAGTGCTTCGCGTGCAAGGCAAATTCTCGTACTCCGGGCGAGGTGTTTTCCATTCCGAATTCATGCAGCATTCGCGGTATGTACCCGTACGTTAATTCAAACGCAGAAAATCCTGTCGTTTCAGAACGCGCTGCGTTCATTGCAAATTCCGTGAGTGGGAGCGCGTCGACCCAATCGGTCTGATCGGGCCGAATCAGGGTTCGCATAATCTGCGCCACCGATCGGTTTGCGCGCTCAGTGACGCCATCCGTTTGTGGGTGGAACGCGGTCGACATCAATAGCTTCGTCCCGAGTATCCGGTGAGTCTCCCGCCAGAACTTCGAATTAAATTTAGAATCACGGTCGGATACTATCGTATCCGGCAGCCCATGTAGTCTCACAATGTCGCGTACAAACATGTACGCTAATTCCGATGCTTTGGATTTTGTGGTACACGGTATGAGGTGTACCATACTCGTTAGTCGGCAAATAATTACCCAAAGGTAATCGAATCCGCGGGACCGGGGAAACGGTCCCAGGAAGTCCATCGCTATCGAGCTCCATGGGCGCCCAGGCACCGGGAGGCTGTGCAACAATCCTTTGGGTTTCCTGTTGCGGTCCTTCGTTGTTTGGCAAATGTGGCATGTCGCGCAGAATTTTTCAATATCGCGTGACATCTGAGGCCACCAATAGAACCTTCGTATGTAGTCTATTGTTTTCTGAAACCCGAAGTGGCCCAGGGTTCGGTGAGCGGCATCAATTACTAACTCTCTCAGGCTCCGAGCGCCGAGCCGGCCGTTTGGTACGCCAAGAACTTCTTTTCCGGCCCGATTGCGGCCCATGATCAGTCCGTCCCATATGGTGAACGCTTTGTGCTCAGTTGGATGTTCCAATACCTTTGCGAACAAGGTATCATTTGCGTAGTTTTCTCGTACTGCCTTTTCGAATTCATCGTGTTCAGTAGTGATTTGCGGCGGGAGGGGCCCATGTGCTACCGCTTCGTATACCACCGGATCATCTTCCGACATCACCGGCGGAGTAATTTCGGGAGCGTCCGACTCAGGCGCTAGCATCTCCGCTTCTAGATCACGGCTCTCGATGGCTTCTGGTAGCCTCATGGCGTTCAGGTGCGCAATTTCCTCATTCCGGAGTGCGGGTAGATCGTCCCCAGCGGGATCTAACCGCCGATCCGCATCGACAAAGTAGTATGGTGCGGGATTCTCGCTAGGGCGGTCGGCCTTGTGGCACCGGGATAATGCGTCTGCGACGACATTCGTCTCCCCCTGTATGTACGTTAGGGTGTAGTCAAATCGGCTAAGATATTCGGACCATCGCCGTTGGCGATACGACATATTTTTCTGACTCTTAAAGAATTCAAGAGTCTCGTGGTCAGTTACAATATTTATTTTTCTTCCGATTAGTTTATCCTCCCATTTGAGGAGGGCTTCGAGTATTGCGAGCGTTTCATGCTCGTACGTCGCGTAGCCTCGTTGCGCGTTGGTAAGCTTCTTCGACATGAAGCCTGCCGGGCGGCACGTCTCCCAATTTGGGCCTTGTCCGTAATAGGCACCGACGCCCGTGGTCGAGGCGTCACATATCACCCAGATCGGATCGGGGCTTTCGAAGTCAACGGGTTTCAGTATGGGCGCTCGGTGCGCCAATTCTTTGATCATGCGGAAGCATTTCTCATGTATCGGTCGCCAATGAAATGGCGCACCGTCGCTACAGATGTTCGATAGCGGTGTGGTGTATGTAGCTACATTCGGCATGAATTGTGCCAAGTATTGCACCAGGCCCAAGAATCGGGCTACTTCGCTATAGTTCCTCGGTGTCCGCCAGTCGCGGATCTGTTCTAATTTGTCCTTCTCCGCGTGAATCCCTTGGCGGTCGATCAGGTGGCCCAGACACTCCATTCGATCCGAATAGAGATCAACCTTCTTTTTAGAAAGGTATAGGTGCGCGTTGCGTAGTGTATCGAATACTATTTCGAGGTGCCTGTCGTGCTCCTCAATTGTATTTGAGAATATAAAAATATCGTCTAAGTATACATGCACGAATATACCTATGTGTTGTCTGAATAGGTGGGTCATTAGACGTTGAAAGGTAGATGGGGCATTGCAGTCGCCCTGCTGCATTACGTGGGACACCATCGTGCCCAAAATGGTCGAGAAGGCGGTCTTGTGTACGTCACCTTTCTCGATCCGGATCTGCTCGTACGCGTCGCTCATATCGAGCTTCGTTCGGTAACGTGCACGTGCAACATCATTTCGAATTCGGTCCTGGTCCGGCATCGGCGTCACATCGTGCACCGTGTTTTCATTACGTTCTCGTAAGTCAAATACTGTCCGGAGTTTCCCATCCTTTTTCGGGATGCAAAGCATAGGTAACGCGTTGTCGACTGGTTTCCAGTCCCACCAGCCTGCCTTAGTGTATTTTTCTATTTTATCTTGTAGTATTTTTTGGTATGCCTCCGGGCATCTTGGCCTATGGCCCCTGTATCTCTTACGGGGGTCGATGATATTAATTTTATGATTCACCTCCCGATATGGAGGCCTTTCCAGCGGGATATCACCCGTGATGTCCGCAATTCGTTCCCGCCATTGCTCCCGAAGGCGTGGGATGTCTTCTTCTCTCAGCGCTTCTTGGGCGCGTGATGAGGGCGGTCCGGGGAACGGTATCCGTTTACCCCACGGAGTTTTTAATTGGGCCTCTTCCGAGGCTTTGTGCTCTTCGTATGCGACTTCAAATTCCTTTGGGAATTTGATGTCCTTGATCTCTTCGTCTGCCATCGCACTTGCCATTGTAAGTACAGTAGGTACATTATGCTCAGCAATATCCGGCATTTGCGTGTCAAGCCCGTGTGAGCGGACCGCTGTCTTGGGTCGTGGGCGGAGGCTGTTAGATTTATTTTTAGTTTGCCTTCCGAAAGGACCGAGGCTTGGCTTCGACGGTCGCCTTCCGAAAGGGCCGAGGCTTGGCTTCGACGGTCTTAGCCCATTTGTCGCCTCCTCTGGTCCTCCCCCCTTCTAATTCGGCGGGAATTAGAGTACCGTCCCGTAGTTTGATTGTATGGCGCTCCAGAATCACTGTAATGCCATGTTTAGCGCAGAACGGCAATCCTACGACAGTGTCATAGTGGGCAATATTTGCCACATCAAAGTACCAATCGGTCTTAATATTACCAAATGCGGTCCGTGAGTATCCGCCATGTGTGATCTTAGATCGACTTCCCTTGCAGCCGAGTTTTAATGTAATTGGACTTTCGAGCTCGAAGACGTCGAGCTCGCATATTTGGGCAAATTCTGTACTTACAGCGTCGGTATTCGACCCTAAATCGAATAATGTCCATGCGCGGACGCCATTAATCGATACATACGCAGCAAGGAGCTCCGTCCATTCTTTCGGATACTTCGGACGGCTTAGATCGCTGTCCCGATGCAGCGCTGATCGTATAGCATCCCGCGCTTCGCGTGGCGGTTCTGGGCGCTTTCCTTTTCGGGAAGGCTGCGCGTATGCAAACGGTGCTGGATCGCGCCCATCATTATGGGCGCCGTCTTCGCTCACAAGGAGTTCGTTCATGAAGACGACTTCCCCTCCATCCGTAGAGTAGTCATCATCAACTGTATTTCCTTGATGTGCCTCGTATGCCTCTAGATAATATGTTTCATCATTGTCCGCATCCTCTGGGGTCGCGTTCTCATTGTCGGCACTCTCCGGCTGTGCCTCGTGTTCCGCTTCTGCGCGCCCATCATCGGCGTCAATCGCGTTCATCTGGGCGCTGTTCCCATAGTGATCCGCGGCCAGATGGCCCTTCTCACCACACGTCCGGCACGCTAGGTGAGCTATTTTTGGGTTGAACCGCGGCTTCGCCACATAGTTAGAGTTTTGGGCATTTGAGTTTGGCTCGCGCCCGTCCCTCCGTGTATCCTTAGCATAGTTGTTCCCTGTAGCTACAACTTTTACAGGAATTGCATTATTATTGTTTCTAGGATTTCTTGTAATCCTGTACGGTGCATCATCATTCCTGCGAGAGCGGAACACGTCCCTCTGGCCGGCGCGGTCTCGCCCAGGCCGATCGCGATCTCGGTTATCCGAGCGCCGCTCCGGGGACTTCGCCTTTGGGGCGTTCCCGTCCCGACTTCTTCGCAGCATCATTGCAGCCTCAATGGCGATGTTCGAGTTTTCGTATGCTATCGCGTAGCGTAGCATATCTCGTAGTTTAGTAATTCCTATTCGAACATTTTTATTTCTCATTAAGTGCGTAATGTACCCTTGAGGTAGCCTGGTCAGGAAATGTTCCGACATGTCGACCTCAGAAGGGGGCTGCAATAATCGAGACGATGCTTCAATTAATTCGTCGTAGAAACTCTGTACCCCCGCCTCAGGGTCAAAGGTGACTTCCTTATATTTCTTTATTGCCTTTTCAGGCGTAATATCTATTACAAATCGGTCAAACATCTCTAGTATTGCTGTAATAAAGTTTAATACTGGTACTCCCGGGTTAGTGCGGGATACCTTAAGGCGCCACCAATGGCGGGCCTTCTCACCCAATCGGGCAGGTGTGTGTAGCTTGCGCAAGTGATCCCGTCGAGGTCCCGACAGTCCGGTAAGTACAAAGTATTCGAGAAGCGATTCTAGCCAATCCATAAATTTGTCGGCATCATTTTGTCCATTCCAGGCGTCCGGGCTTGGAGGTTTCTGACTTTTAGTATTTGGGTCCGGTTCGACATAGTTTCCTACGTATATTTCAATCATGTATTTAATTCGATTGTGGTATACTGTACGCAAGCTTATTCCCGTGAATTCATTGCTGAACGGGATGTACGACCCTTCGCGCAATGCGCGCATGTCTTCATCATCAGATCTCGGCGTTATTCGCCGTCGGTTAGTCTCGCCCGATCCGTCGCTATCGCTATTATTCCCGTTTGGGCCAGATCCAGGGTCCCCGCTGCCTCCCGGGGCGCTTCCTCGTCCCAGCCCTCGTCCGTTCGAGCGTTGACTTCCTCCTCCTGTTCGGGAGTTTCCGTTACTATTTGTATGGTTGCTTGGACCTCCGCTAGGAGGTCCATGATTAATTATTAGTCCTCCGCTTGAGGGCGCGGGTTGTCTGCGTCCTGGCGTCATTCTTGCGTGGGAGCTGATGGCCGCGCCTGCAGCCGATCCATTGTTCTGGGTCCCTTGCCCGTGCTCTGGGCTCGCGTATAGATCATCATCATAGTTTGATGCACGCGCGCTGCCGAGTCCCGTAGTGGCTCGGCGTACCTCATTCTCGTCTTCTTCGGTATCGCCTTCGTTACCATCCGTCCTAGGCGTAACGAACTCTCGGCGGCCCGGTCTTCCTTCAGCAGGTGCGTCTCCGGTTTCCTGTTTGAGTTCAAGGCTGAACCATTCGGCTGGTCCGATATCCTGTAGTTGCCGTTTCTCCATCCGGCGTTGTAGTAGTAGTAATTGTCTATAGTTACTTCCTTTCTTTACTTTAGTTTGATCAATAATTAAATTGATGTCCTCCATTCGAAGTGGGCGTTTACCACCCTGATTCCATAGTCTTTCGGCTATTGATCTCATTCCTGCTAAGTCTTCAGTATCAGTTTGATACGATGATGATAGGTTTCCCACATCAGATTGATCGTTCCCACGCTTTCATTATGCTCAG